TATTAAGGGGAAATATAATCTCAAATGGCTTAGCAAGATCCTTCGTTATGCCGAAAATATTGCAGCATTAATTTTGAAATAAATATATGGTAAAGTTGAGGATTAATGTTAAAGATTATGTTAGACGAAAACACGATTTCGTAAAATTTTCTCGATAGAAAAAAATGCAAAGTTATCTCCAAAATAAACAATAAACCGCTCATAAAATACTTTAAATAAGATCATGAAACATTGCATACTAACTGAACTAACTGTAAAGCGGTGCTTATGTGATTTAATTTTTTTTAAATACCATTATTTTCACTGTAAAAAGAAATTACCTAAACTATCGGCCTTTTGAAGCGTGATTCCTGCAGCACGGTCACTTCGCCTCGGCCTTTGAAGGGGGGAGGTTGTGTCGCTTATGATCAGAATATACATTACGCAACAGTACGACGTAAAATTAAAATGGGAAATTACCATGACAATGACAATGACAAAAATAAGAAGCGGCTGGCTTGGCGTTAAGAAACAGGCATAAATATGATAAACCTAATGAAATAAGTGTCTAACGACCTTTCTACTTACAGTATTAGTGATTACAAACATGTCGGTACATAGCATACGACGCGCGGGCAAGTGGGGACGAAATTAGAATTTGAGCTGACTTACTCTATCCTCTTAAGCTGCTATTTTACACTGGTATTTTCAGAGAGAGTTGTCCTGCCCTGATCGAGCCGACCCATTCGTGCGGCAGCCATAATATTGCTGCATTGTAACTCTACCAGGTATTACATAAATTGCACATGGACAAACACTTGGACACGAAAAAAAAAATTGTGAACTATATAAGTATTTGTTCCGTGCGGGAATCGAACCCGCGTTCAATTAAGGTCTATATAATTTTAGTATTAGTAGTTAGTTAAATTGATAATATTGCTGCCGTACTATTCATATCAACTCAAAAACTGTTGTGGTCTTTAGGTGTTTAGTTCGTGTTTTGATTTTTAAAGTGAACATTTCTTTAGACAGGTTGGGTTCTTTTGGGATGGGGAAAAAGCTGGGTGATTTTTTTTAAAGTCTGAAAAAAATAGGGTGTAACTGGTGAATGGAATAGAAGCCACTGAAGACATTGATATTCTACATTTTATTTTTATTTTACAATAACATACCAGGCGGTCCCATAATGAACTGGCCTGATATAGTTCAACGCGACATGTCGCTACATGTTGTGTTGCATTAAATAGTACGTTTATCGTACACTTAATATAAAGAAACATGCATCGACATGAAATGCTTAGTCTTAGTTTAACAGGCATTTGAATAACGAGAGTCGCGTATTTTTTCAAAATGTCGAAAACTGAGTATCGAAGTGTCATAAAGTTTCTGTTTAAAGAAGGTTTATCCCCTGCCCAAATGAAAGAACGATTGGATGGCGTGTATAAGGAGTCTGCCCCCTCCTATAGCACAGTGAAAAATTGGGTGAAAGAGTTTCGCCTCGGGAGAGAAACCGTCGAAGACTTTGGCCACGACGGTCGACCTGTGGAAGTGCTCACTCCCGAAACGATTGCTCTTATCGAAGAGGAGGTTCTGAGTGACCGCCGTTTGAAGATTAGAGAAATTGCAGCAAGGCTTGGGCTCTCTAAGAGTACCGTTCATCGCGCGATCCATGAACATCTTCACATGAAAAAAGTGAGTGCAAGATGGGTACCGAAACTTCTTTCAGCGGTACAGAGACAGGAAAGAGTGCGCTGCGCTTCGGAGTTTTTGGATCTTTGTGGCGAAAATCCAAAGACTGTGATCGAGCGGCTAGTGACTGGTGATGAAACTATGATCTTGTATTATGATCCACAAAGCAAGCGCGGGTCAATGGAATGGCGTTATAAGGGTGAAAAGCCCCCTAGAAAGGCAAAGGTGCAACAATCGACTAAAAAACTGATGTGCACAATATTTTGGGATTTTCAAGGCATTTTGATGGTGGATTTTAAAGAACGTAATACAGTCGTGAACGGCGAATATTATGCTTCTTTAATATATAAATTACGAGACAAGATAAAGGAAAAACGAAGAGGCAAGCTGTCTAAAGGTGTCCTGTTGCTCCATGACAACGCCCCTGTTCATACCGCTGGTGTTTCGAAGGATGCAGTTCGTCAATGCGGGTTCACAGAACTTCAATATCCACCTTACAGTCCAGACATGGCCCCGTCTGACTATTATTTATTTCCAAATTTAAAGCGGGACTTAAGAGGAAGAAAATTTTCAAGCGATGAAGAGTTGCAGGCGGCCGTCTTCAGTCATTTTGAGGATAAAAAATGTGATTATTTTTATAAAGATTTAGAGATGTTGATTCACAGATGTCAGAAGTGTGTTAGTATTCATGGTGATTATATTGAAAAATAAAATTGGTTTCGTTTCATTTCCTTCATTGGTTCATAGTTAGGCCAATTCATTATGGGACCGCCTACGTACATATTACGAAATTGATCTATCAATAAATACTGCTGATTTGAAATAAACTTTCAGTACTACAAAAATACGAGAAACTTTATGAAGTAAATAAATAAATCAATTAAAAACTATCGAAATGAAAATAGTACGTATCCAATTAGTAGTATTTATTGATCAAATAGTATCTAGTATTTACTAGTCAGGTTAAAAAAAAAGTTCCGTCAAAAACTTTTTATAAAATTAATGATACACTTTTTGATAATTATATAGAAATTATATATGAAATGAAAGGCAATTTAATTTAGAATACAATTTTATTTAAATTATTCAAAATGCCCTCCCCTATTTTGAATACATGCCCTTAATCGACGCGGTCAATCATCCGCTGCTTTAGCCAAAGATGCTCGGAGAGATTCTAAATTCTGATGAGGTTTAGCGCAGACTTTCTCCTCCAAATGTTGCCATATCTTATAATCCAGTGGGCTTAAATCTGGACTAGAAGAGGGCCAGTCTTCATGTCTGATAATGTCGATTCCATGGGTGGTCAACCAGTTTTGCGTGCTTCATGCCATGTTGCTGGTGCAGTCCTGTTGGAATATCCAATGTCTGTTTTTGAACATTGTTTGAGAAAGAGGTTCCACTATGTTTGTTAGGACGGTATTTTGGTACACCTCGGCACTGGTTTTTACACCTTTTTCACAGAAAAACACCTCAGTTAAGCCTGAATATGAGACTCCAAGCCAAACCATGAGTGACGAAGGATAATGTGCTCGTTGAACCCTCGGAATAAGCGTGCTGGCTTCCCCACAGCAATTAGCTGTGGGGATACGCCTTATTATTTTGTTTATTATAACTTTCTTCGATGTTAAATTTTTTCATCCGAAAACAGATTCGCGGTATTTTTATCCCGCGTACCGCCGTAACAAAACGCGGGATCTATCCATCCAAATTTTTTTCAATCGCTCGTTTAAAAAATGTCCGATCTTCTTACGATAAGCTCGTAGTCCTAGGTCTTCATTGATCACTCTTTTGACCGTGGTTCTGCTGAGGCCCATTTGAAGAGCTAAGATGTTTTGTTTACGAACAGGATTTCGTTGGATTCGTGACTTCACTGCTTGCTTGATGATCGCGGGTGTCCTAACTGTACGCGGTCGGCCTTTCTTGAATGTTTGATAGCGCGATGAACAATCGCAGGGTCATTTTCAATTTTTGTAGAATATTGAAAATCTCTTTTGGCGCGTAACCACAGCGGTGCAACGCGATAACCGCTACGCTATCTTCTTTCTTCGACCACTCCATATTTAAAAATTAATGAAAATTAATGTCTTTTTTATTTTAGGCAAGCGCAAACGTTATATTTTTTAAATTGGTGAAGTTCATCTAGCCAGTATTCAAAATTTTTAAATAATAAGGTTTTGACGGAACTTATGACCCGACTAAGTATGTACAGGGTTATATTGCAATAACCGAACCGACATTTGCAGAGAAGGTTCAGAATAAGTAATATAGGCAAATGGTGAAGAAAAATTAATAAAATTATCTGAAACTTCCGGTCTTTTTTATCTTTTGAATTCAAAATGCGTGGTAATGGAGTAATTTAACTGATTTTTCTGCGCACGCACACATTCGTAAGGGTCAATCGGTAGACGAAAACGTGGTTGCCCATAAATCACATTCAATTTGACATAAAGTAAAGTAAAGTTACTTAGGGAGGCTCCTTTTGAGAGGGTTTTGGGGGTTTGGAATTCTTCATATTTTTTCTTATTTCTCAGGAGGTTTTTGTGTAAATAGCACTAAAGGGTTTATTTCAAATAAAAGTAGAAGCCTTATTTACTTGTATTTTCAAAAACTTCAATAACGGTATATCTCTATTTATATATTTCAACATAAGTTTAAAATTCGGATACTCTGAAAAATAACGCTGCATATATATAATTAAAAAAAACTTTCAGTATTTTATTTTAGTGAAGTTAATATGTTTTCACTTCTGACGTGCAGTCCTACGACTGATAGTTTTTTTTATAGTGTTCATTTATCAGAATTTCCTTCTTTTTATTTATCGCTTTGTGCCTCTGTTTGAACACCAATCACGTGAAAATTTTGTGTTGTTGATCTTGACTGAAATTGTTTTAACCGATATCATTTGAAACATGTCTAAGTTATATTTCAATTGGTTGTGTAGAGCAGACTACAGCTTGAGTACTATGTTATTCCATACATATATAATGAGATTGGTTGGTTTTTGTAAGTACACTAATAATATAATTTCAGTTTCAAGTGTTTTGTACAAATACTGGATAAATACATGTATAGTATAAGCATGTCATTTATCATGATCATCATCATTACAGCCATTCACAAGTCCACTGCTGAACATAAACCGCCCAAGGAATGCCACAAAATACGGTTTAGAGTTACTTGCATCCATCGAATTCCTACATCTCTTACTAGGTCGTCACTTTGTTTACTGGGGGATCGCTCTAAACTTTACTTATCGCTACAAGGCTACCACTCGAGAAACATCTCCACTTCAAAGATTAGGAATGTAATCCTGATTTTCGTTAAATTTAAAATTAAAAATGTATACGTACACCGGTTCCCGCAAATATGATATGCAATTGTAAATTGCTGATGGATCCATTAGGTGCAGAAGTTAAAGCAAAATGCCACATGGAGAACACGACTATCGCTATCTGCATGTGATGAAGAAGATTGAAGAGTTGGCATATTGCCTGCCAAGCGGAATACCATTTGGAACTATACATTTCGCCACTTTCTTCATCGTAAGCGGCAGGTGCTCTTGTCAGTTCCGCTTGATAAGGGACATGTTCCCGAACTTCAAACATTTCCACCTTCTCCACTGACTGTTGGCTCGTACTAGGTCGATCCATTTTTGACGCTGTAGTCACTCCGAACCGTAATTACAGTTTCCTTTACTGGACGCGGTTGCTTGGAATCCTATCGACTCACGAACTAAATATTTGACACGGCGTAATTTCTATCAAGATAGCGATACTCTTTTTTCTGATAACATAAGAGAATTTGATCGCAGGCCGAACTATCGTAGCGGGATTGACAGCTTTTAGATTAAAAACTTGCGTAACTGTGAGATACTGGGCGATATCATTTTCTAGTATATTTGTAAGATCAACTTTATCTGCTTGATTCTTTTTGGAGAATGTCGAAATTCGCTTCTGAAGGAGTGGTCGCACAATTTTTTCATACTGAGATCTACGAGTATATCGCGACCTACATTTTACAACCCGTGAAACAATATAGTATTTTGGGATTATTGTAAATTAATTAATTTTTAAACATTTGAATGTAATCAATCTTTTGCGTGTTTCTTTTAATCAAAAGTAATACTATCTGGGTATTTAATCCAGCTTAATTTGATTTTAGTGATTTTTCCAGCAATTTTTAAGAAATAAGAAAAACCAGACGTGGTGTGTTTACAATTGTTAATTGCATGGACGTTTCACATATTAATACAAACAATACCTATAATTTTAAAATAATTAATTTAATTTTAATTGGGAACATTAGAGTAGAAATAAGAAACAATGGTAGTTAATAGTTTCGCTAGTAGACAATAGATGTCACGGAAGTGATTTTGATAAGATATGAAATGAAAAATATGTTATGAATCATAATACATATACGAGAACCAGTTTCTGGTAAATTATTTATTACAGACGAGTTAAATGTAAACATAACACGTATTTATTTTGACAACATTTATTTTAAGATTTTAAGCATATTATAAATATAGTTTGATGTCGCTAGATGTCACTGCTAGTAGCTGCACTGTATAACAACGTTGCTAGTTTACTAATAACTTTCGACCAAAGCAATTTTTTTACCATAATTGAAAGTAAAAAAAAACTGGGTGCGATTGAATACGCCTTCATTAGGCCACCACTCGGAAAGTCGTGGGTTTGAATCTGCCTTTCTACTATTGTCGTGAACCATTCCCAACACATTTTTTTTAAGTTTACGTGGTTAACGATTGTAACGCTAAATGTAGCTTTACTAATATATTAAAAAAATTACACTTTAGTAATTCTCCGAGCAGCTGGAGCACTTTCTTACCTAGTACTGCCGTAAGTAGAGGTGCAATTTTGTGTGCTAGTTTAATTTTACAGGCTTTAAGATATCTTAATATTTTTACAAAGGTAAGTTTTGTTTAGAATTAGTTATTGGCTGTATAAATTATAAAAGTAAAGTTACAACTTATATATGTCCCACTGCTGGGCACAGGCCTCCTCCCCTAACTTCTAAGAGGGTTTTAAGGCAAGGAAGTGTTCGACGCGCTGAATAATGTTTGCCTTTAAAATGTTATAAAGTAGAAAGTAAAACTATGATGATATCATAATTTTGTTTTCAGATAACACTTTGATTCCATTGAAATATTATAAGATAGAAAAATGATGACTATATCTGACATTGTATTACTTTTAGGGCTTTTTGAAGGTTCAAATAATTTGTGTCCCTATGTATGTCTTTAACACCTTAGAATATTATTCTAAGTTTAACACCTACAATAGGATTAGTTATTTTTGTATAAGTGATATATCGTAACTACAAGTAATTTAATAGGTATGAGTTCGGATGTGTTAGTGCGTGCTCTTGTAAAACTACTACACATTCTGTGTATTTTAATAACTTCCGATAGTAATTATCGAAAGATGTTCTCTTGGTCGATGACGCCCTAAAAGACGCCACAGAATTACATATATTTCCATATATCTTTGTATATATCAAGACCGTTCGGACATTTATCTAATACGATAATTTTAACAAAACCCTTGGGATTCTAAGATCTATTAGGGTGCATCGGTCCCGCCTCCAAATTAATAAGGTAGTTAATGAATTCCCCGCCGAGGGCTTTTGAGTTCAAACGAGGCGTAACCCATTTTTCACCTTAACACTCGATAACGAGGGGTCAGACAACAGGTTTTTAGTGGTGACAAAGTGCAATGGTAAGGAAGATTTAAATGTTTGACACAAAGCTGATAACCATAAAGGCAAGTAAGTAATCTGTAATTTGATTAGGTAGTTAATATAAAGTTTTAGAATCAGGCAGTAAAAATGATCTATAGTTTCCGTTTATTTACGTACTAGCAGTTCACGCGACTTCATCCCATGTAGAATTAAAGATATTAATATTTAATTCGCAACCATCCTCTTAATTAAATACTTAATGATGTCTCTTACCTGGATTGAGGAGCACCTCCCGCCCTCCCTCAATTGAATGCACTAATCCCGTCACCATTAGTCCCAGCACCACTTAACCTTGTAGAATTTATTACGATTGGATTCGTTCGTGCAAAAAAAACTAAAACCTTCATAGGTTGATGAAGGTTTTAGTTTTTTTGAACGAAACCCTAATTATTTTTCTAAAATAAAGGTAGCTTAAGTTACTCCTTATAACATTAGTTTTTTTTCATTTGATGACAAAATCGATCCAGCCATTTCAGAGATTAGCCGGAACAATCATTAAGACATACAAACATTTAAAAAATTGTTTTTTTTCGTACTGTACTACTGTATACACTTTCATATGCATTTTGTGATAATCTATTATTTTGGCTTTACAAACAGACACTTCTCAATTTTATTTATTTGTTTAAATGAGCCAAAGTGTTAGTAACGATGGTTATGTACCAACTAGATGTTAGTAAAACTAAAATCTTAATTAACTACCCATGTAATACATACTACCCGAGAATCTCTTTTTATTTTTATTTAATTAATTTTCTAGGTTGCTCGGACGAGATTACAATGAAGCAATAAAACCACCTTTTGTTTTCCCTGAATATTTGTTTATTACATTGTTATATGAATCTTTTCTTCTCCTCGTTGGTGTAAGGGTTGTAGTAGTGCGACTTCTGATCATAAGGTCCCGAGATAGAATCCCGGGTCGGGCTAAAAGTAATCTGTTATTGAGTTTTTCCATCAAGGAATTCTCAGTAGCTGTCCGGAGTTAGTAAGTTGGCGGTGTCTCAACCCCGTGCCTCGGAAAGCACGTAAAGTCGTTGGTCCTGCGCCTGATCTCTCTCCGGTTGTGTCGGTGTACGTTCCCATCAGACTATGAGAGGGAGAGAGTGAGGGAATAGAGAGTGCACCTGTTTTTTTTTAATAGGATAGGGTTACAAATGAGCTCACAGTCCACCTGATGGTAAGTGGTTGCTGTGAGCCATAAACCATGCAGATGCGTTGTCACGCGTAAAACTTTGCTTGCGCATACACTTGGGCACTATAATCCTGTCCTGCACCGATGGCTAGTCCCCGTCGAGGCTGGCCGCCGTAACCAAAATTCTGTCTGGAAGATATTATGAATCTTTCCTTAGTGTACAATAAAGATTACTTTCTGCATGCATTCTGTATGTAACAGTGGCAGTAGTTTATGTAGAAGAAATCCTTTCTGCCGGCTGTTATATATTTTTACAAAACTGAAGTGGAAAACGAACTTACAGTCTAGTTTGATGGTAAGTGGTGAGCTACCGCAGTCCATGGACACCTGGAGCCAACTTCAATCAAAGAAGGCCACAGATCCGTGTAACCTCTTGAAACTAAGATGGAATGCTTCATAGTCAGTAATTATACTGGCTCTCATACCCTTCAAATCGGAGCATACCTGGGTGTGACCTATCCCGGGGAACTTCCAGGTAGAGAAGGTGACCTACCTGTCTGTAAAAGTAAGTAGTTCGCCGAACGGATGAATTATATTTAGCCCTATATGCAAGAAAAGAATCAGGCCCTCCTCATCAATAGCTTTCGTTATTAGAAGCTATTAGTATAGTTAAAAATAATAAGAATAAAAGAAATAATTAAATAGGTTAATGGTCAACGACATAGCATCACTCTTAGTTAGGTTTGCCAGATCGGAAGACTAAAATATTTGGACAAATTTTGAAAAAGTCGGGATTTTGGGATTGCTACCGGGAGAAATAAATATTAAAAATAAAAATTTAATTTTTTCATAGAGAAGCTACAAAAATACTTTAAACAAAACTAATTTAAGTAAATTAAATTTTTAGGAAGCCACGAGTATTTGGCATTGGGCTTTAGTAGAGTCCACCAATTTGGATCCTTTCGTAGTATTCAGAAAATATTTAAAATTCAAACAATTTACTTCAAAGTTCAGTCTAATGACTAACTCAGCTTTTATATGCTGTTTGTCTGGAGATTTTGTGTTTTGTCGGGAGAATCCAGACAAATCCCGACCATCTAGCAACACTACTCTCAGTGGTGTGGTGTCGTTGACAAAATATATTTTTTATGTAATTACTAAAACGATTTGCTATCGTTAAGAAAATAGTTTGTCAACTACACCACTGACGAATAGTGTTATTACACATTGTTATAATTTAAATTTGTCATGTATATGTCGCAGCCAACTAGCTTAATTAGCCTTTCAGTTAACGGGCTAGCCTTTTTACGTTTGGCTAGTGGCATGATATAAACAGATATGGTAAAGATAGATGGCCTGATAGAAATACTAACAGTTTGTGGTTTGTGATTGGAAATACGCAACCTTTTTCCAAATGCCAGTCTCATCTGCACGCGGAATCCTGCTGATTGACGGCCGAGAGTCTGCCAACCGACTGATGGTGAAAAATACATTAAAAATGCTATACCCAAGGTGTTGAGATGATTGGTGTGATAGGGGTGATTGGGGGCATAGGGGTGGTTGGAATGATCGAGGGTGATAAATCACCCCAATAAGCTCAACCATCCCTGGTTGAGGTTATTGGGGTGATTGGTGGTGGCACATTACCAGTGTACGAATATCAGCTCTGCGTTCACCAACACATCTGCCCAGCTTGGAGAGTATGGAAAATATATCAAGAACGTATCAGCTGTAATGTCCCAACTGGTAAACCTC